GTGTGTGTGTGTGTATATATATATATATATATTAGTGCTGGGCAACAATTAAAATTTTTAATCGCATGATTTTCTGCGATTAATCGCATTATGCACAAAATTCTATAACTAATTCAAAAGTATAGTATTATGCACTTTTTTCATCTAAAAGTACTGCTATATGAACAAAAGTGCAATAACATTTTGTTTGCAAACACTTTAAACAAATAAGGTGGTTTTTACAGCAGTATTTCTTTGACATAGCAGTTAAAATATTTATTGTAAATCTCAGTTTATAACATTAATGTAATCAAATTAAACCAAAGCTATTTGCCACTGCCAGGGCATTAACGTTTTAATAGAAAATATTTTATAGTTTGTTATAGAAAAACAAGTTATGCTCAGAGTCCAGAGCCTCGATCATAACATTATAACAGGCACCTTAGAAACCTGCACTATCACACCTAACCTGAAATAACGCAGCAGCGTGCAGCGCGGGACAACACTTGATGGGCGAGTGTCGTGTGCGGGATGCGGGAGAATAAGGGTGTACTCACACTAGGCAATCTTAACCGTGCCTTTCAGGCGCGGTTCGTTTAGTCGGGCCTGGCTCGGTTCAGTTATGTATAGATCAGTGAGTGTGAGTGATAACCGCGCCGGAGCGCAGAACTTCTGATACGTGCAGCATGATTGCATGAACATTTCTGAGCGGCAAAAGTGATAGACGTGTAAAGCAATATATTGTGAAAGGGGCCGTGTGTTACCGCGTCCCCAACGACTCAAAATAATAAACCAAAGTTAACAAAACGATGCACTCAATTGTGTTTTGACTTATGAAGTTGTGACTCGTGAGCAGCACTGCTGCAGTCTTAGGCCCACCCCAGATGCTCTCATTGTTTGAGACGCGTGATGACACCCATCCCAAGCCAGTACACGGGGCCGCTGCTGGCCAAATGGGTGCCCTAAGCAGAATTGTATTGTTGTGCCCCCTCAGTCAAATATGAGTCTACTATGGGTCAAAATAGAACTTTAATAAAATATAAAAGTAAATAAATTGTAAGTAAATTATATTATTTAGCTCTAGACAGTTACCTATGGCTACGATTTTATTAATACAATTGATTTTATAGTCTCAAGCATTCAGAAATCACACAAAAGAAAATCAAGCAGTTTTACTATGATAAAACCATGGTTCATTTTTGTAAGGGTTGTGATATCCACATGTTTTTGCTGAAGAAATTATAGAGGCTTGTAGCATTTCTATCGCAAAAAGGTGGCCAAAAATGAGAGATTAAGTGGATATTTGAATTAAATGTTTTGGTCAATGTTAAACAAGGATTTGATCGTCCTGTAAGTGTAACAGCAGCAATTACCAGGCCTTTGGTTCCCTTTACAGGCATTTGTAATGATATGTAATGTACATAAATTGTTTATTTTGTATTACATTATGTATTTTAACAGTGTTATTCAATGAAACCATATAATTATTAATTAACCAATCATGATTGACTCATTGTTTTTTATATAATGCATTTTAAGTCATTTTAAAGGCTGTTGTTGGCTTAGGTTTGTTTTTATAACCACAAAAAAATATTATCCTAATACTCCTTTGTAAACTATTACTTGAAGTAACAAAACCATGGTTAATTTGTGGTTACCATGGCTACAAGAACCATGATTTTTGGTTTTATTCGTAGTAAAACCATGGCTAATTTTCGTAAGGGAACATGGAAACTCAGAAAGAATATTAGATGCGTTGTTGGTGGTTAAATTATTACCGACATTAAAACACGTTATTAACATCAACTGCCAAAAAAGTTTCACAGGATTATGAATGTACCTGATGCATGGGTTTCATCTCTTTTTCTTTTTCTTTTCTCAGCGCCGGATTGCTGTTGTCTTTTCACGGGTATGGGCCTAGTTGTCCGTAAATTATGATCATTTGCATTCAGCCGCAAACATGAGGTGCGATCGGTCGCGAATGCGGGAATGGCGCGTCAGGTGTGCTTAGCCTACTGCTTACCGCGTTCCCTGTAAAATGCATTTTTATAATGATATATATATATGTTGATGTTTAGATATTTATTTATGTATATGTATATGTTAATTTTAATATTAATATAGAACAAAAATAGTTTTTTGTTTTTGTTTGTTTGTTTGTTTTTTGAGCAACTGGGATGGTGCCCCCCTGGAAATTGGTGCCCTACGCAAACTGCGTACTCTGCGTATAGGGAGTGGCGGTACTAACAGGAAAGCTTGGATTAGGCGCAAACTTATTTAAAATGGAAAATGGCCTGAAATTCTTAATGACGTTTTCCCAAATAATATGACAGAATTGCACCAATAAACATTCCCAAGCCATGGGTTTGAGTTCCTCCATTTGAATTTTCTGTTCAACTCTACAGTATATCAGAATTTAAAGGGATAGTTCACCCGAAAACTTTACTGTGATCATCTCATGTTGTTCCAAACCTGCATGACTTTCGTTCTTCTCCAGAACACAAAAGAAGAAACACCATTAAATTACCATAAATGTAGACCATATGCTTTGTGTGTCCCACAGAAGAAAGAAAGTCATACAGGTATGGCACGACATGAGGGTGAGTTAAACACTGTCCCTTTAAATGTGTTGTGTCATCTTGATGGTAGTTATTTCTCCTTTCAGTCTTCGGTTTTTGCTTGTTTTTCTCATAACGTAATTTAAATTCACTGATTAGTTTCCAGGTTGAACCCTGCACCGCTATCTCACTTATCCTTGTCTAGTTCTCTTTTACTGTCACATAAAATCTGTGTGCGTAATTACGCCGGAGAGGAAATCTCCCAGAATGATTCTCTCTCTCTCTCCCTGTGAGAGGGTTTTTTATAGGCCAGACTGCAGCAGTCCCTTTGGGTGAAAGAATGAAGGAGTTTAAACTCACAACAAAACACGCCAGGCCATCGCGCTCATCCGGGGAGCATCTTCAGCCGGCTTGATCCAGCTCACTGTTTGAAAAGATGGGAGTTGCATGCGTGATTATTTTCTTCTAATGTTTCACTTTTCATATCAGTATTGACAGAAAGCACTGTGTTTACCACTATGGGGAATTGGGCTTTCAATATTTATGTCGCCACAACAATACATTTCCTTTTTTAATGCAAGGCTGGTGCCAGAATGTCTTTGACTCTTGTCCGCAGATTGTGGAGCTTGTGCTGTTTGGCGCTATAGAAACTGCCCTACATCCAAATTCATGTGAGCAAGGAATGAGGGCATGAATGTTCCTTGGAGAAGCCAATTCTCACAGTGGGAGTCAAAGGCTGACTGGACTGCTGACACATTGATTTGCCCAGGGCTAGAGAAAAGATTTCTGATACAATAGCCTGCAATCCAGGAGCCAGATTCTGGTGTCTATTATATAAATAACACTTCAGGCTGAAACACTTAAGTATTTGTCCAAAACAAGAGTTATAATGACAGAAAACTATTTTATGGTAAGTTGGGGCCCATTCTAGACCAGTTCAATTCAGTCCAATCCAATTCAGTCCAAAGTAGTCTAATCCAGTTTATAGGTTGAGTCCATCTAATCTAGCCGAACCCACTTCAGTCCATACAGGTCCATTTCAGTTTGCCTCACTCCATTCTAGTCCATTCTAATTCCGTTCAATAGTCAAGCCTAGTAAATAAGTAGTCCAGTAAAATCAACTCCAGTTCAGCGCAGTATAACCCAGTCCAGTTTATTGATTGAGGCCATTTAATCTAACCTAACCTACTTCAGTCCATTCTAGTCCAGTCCAATCCATTTCAGTCCAAAGTAATTTAAAAAATCCAGTCTATCATCAACTCCAGTCCAGTTTATAGGTTGAGGCCATCTTATCTAGCCAAACCCACTTCAGTCCATACTAGTCCATTCCTGCCCATTATAGTCCAGTTCAGTCCAGTCTAATTCAGTTCATTGTAGACTAGCCCTGTCAATCTAGTCCACTAAAACCAACTCCAGTCCAGTTCACTGCAGTGTAGTCCAGTTCATTTTATAGTTTGAGGCCATCTAATCTAACTTAACCCGCTTCAGTCCATGCTAGTCCAGTCTTGCCCATTCTAGTCCAGTCCAGCCCAGTCCAATCCAATTCAGTCCAAAGTTGTCTAATCCAATTCAGTCTATTATCAACTCCAGTTTATAGGTTAAGGTCTATCATCAACTTCCAATTCAGTGCAAGGTAGTCCAGTCCATTTTATAGGTTGAGGTAATTTAATCTAGCCTAGCCTTCTTCAGTTCATGCTAGTCCAGTCCTGCCCTTTCTAGTCCAATTCAAACCCTTCTAGTCCAGTCCAATCCAATTCATTCCAAAGTAATCTAGCACAGTCTAGTCTATCAAATCCAGTCCAGTTTATAGGTTGAGGTCATTTAATCTAGCCTAGCCCACTTCAGTTCATGCTAGTCCAGTCCTTCACTTTCTAGTCCAGTTCAATCCCTTCTAGTTTAGTCTAGTCTATCAATTCCAGTCCACTTTATATGTCGAGGACATCTAATCTAGCCTAACACAATTCAGTCCAGTCCAGTTCACTTTAAATTAGTCTAGCCCAGTCCAGTCTATCATCAGCTCCTGTCCAGTTAAGTGCAGTGTAGTAATTTCAAAGAAATCCACCAGTTCTGTCCATTCCAGTCCTTCCTATATAGTCCAGTCAAGTGTATGCCAGTCTAATGCAGTCTAGGCCAGCCTGATCCAGTCTAGTCCAATCCATTAAGGTCCCATTATCTTTTAGAGTGTCAGATTATTGCATTTAGACCTGCTAATGGCTGTGCCATCAGCCCATGGCAGGTGACATTTGTCTTAATGAATGTATCATATACATTTGTTGTGAGACATAACACATAATCAAAGGTTAGTAAAGGAAGTAATAGCTTTTCCATTTGCGTTAAACGATGAATGAACCACAGTAGATGAGACCTGACGGGTTTATGACTATAGCATTGTATAATGACACATCAGACCAGAACATAACCGGACTGAACATCTTTATTCTGGTCTTTTTCTCTCTCTTTCAGGGCTGTAATGGGTCTCGGTCATGGCAGCTACTGCTTTGCACTCCTGCGGTCCATCCCAGATGTGTTTTACGTGGTTCTGGTCACCAGTCTCCGATACCACCTTTTCATCTGGAGCGTGTTTTCTCCAAAACTCTTGTACGAGGCCATGCACACCCTCATCACCACCGCTGTATGTCTGTTTTTTACATTTATGGATCAGGAACGCTCGGCCAGACCGTGAATACAAAGCCAGAACCAGGACCAAAGCCATACTCGGGTACAGAACAAACGTTGCAGTTGAGTTTTGCGCACCAAAAGGAGAAATAAAATGAGAGAAAAAGCGATGGGAGAAGGTTTTAGGTAATTCTACTACTGTGAATGAGGTCAACATTGAGAATTCAGAGCTTACATGGGGATTTGGCTCACTCTACTGACTTTCACTCATTTGTGTGTATGCGATTAAATTATTTTTATATTTTTTGGGAGGTCATTGATAGTGCAGATAACATATGGCAAGACTTGTGGGCATACATATGATAATCCCTCTCATTCTCTATGCAGTTTCGCACCAAAAGGAGAAATAAAATGAGAGAAAAAGCGATGGGAGAAGGTTTTAGGTAATTCTACTACTGTGAATGAGGTCAACGTTGAGAATTCAGAGCTTACATGGGGATTTGGCTCACTCTACTGACTTTCACTCATTTGTGTGTATGCGATTAAATTATTTTAATATTTTTTGGGAGGTCATTGATAGTGCAGATAACATATGGCAAGACTTGTGGGCATACATATGATAATCCCTCTCATTCTCTATGCAGTTTTCTTTCTAAAGCTTTACAGATAATGGAGAGTGTAATTCTTTTTTTAATCGCATGATTTTCTAATAAACCAAAGTTAACAAAACGATGCACTCAATTGTGTTTTGACTTATGAAGTCGTGACTCGTGAGCAGCACTGCTGCAGTCTTAGGCCCACCCCAGATGCTCTCATTGTTTGAGACGCGTGATGACCCCCATCCCAAGCCAGACTTGTGGGCATACATATGATAATCCCTCTCATTCTCTATGCAGTTTTCTTTCTAAAGCTTTACAGATAATGGAGAGTGTAATTCTTTTTGTATCTTGCAATTTCCGTTCCTGACCGTTGCTTCACCTCTAGAATAAAACGAGATAAGATACATCATTAATAACTCTCCCCTCACTGAGATCACAGCAGATGTAAGCTCCTCGTGCACTTGAAAGCTTTAAGGGATCTTAAAAGTATTTTAAATCATATCTAAACACAGCTATGCATGACGTTTTTGTTTAATCAGCCTGTTGGAAATGAGAATTGTAAGTTGATTTATCTTGGTAAGTGTTTTTTCTTTATCTCAGTGCTTAGATCTGGTTAATAATAAAATAAACTCTTTTCTGATTGAGAGTAAATCATTTCTGCATGCTTTTTAATGTGTAATTCAGAGTTGAGCTTCTCTTGTTTTGATACATTAGCTGTGTACAAGTTTTAAAATTATGATAAATGTCACTTACTGTATTAATCAGTGACACTAACAGTGTGACGTAACCAGACGTGATGCAATAACACACAGAGCGTCACAAGATATTTTGTGTTTTGCTTTGTTTCGGTCTTTATTACAAAGTGCTTAGTAGCTCCGCCCACAGTGAAATCTCATTGGTCAAAAAAACTCCTCCACGTAACTGTATATTAAACAAACATGCTCTGAATGGCAAAAATTTATGTTTTACGTTTTGCTTCCATTAATGGTGATGGACTGTTTAATTTCTTTTGCTTATGCATCTCTGCTATTGACATACACTACCATTAAAATACAGTTGGAAACTGTAATATTGTGAAATATTTTTACATTTAATATAGCTGTTTTATGTTTGCATATATATTCAAATGTAATTTATTCCCTTGATGCAAAGGTCCAAAACTCCAATCTTCAGTGTCACATGACCCTTCAGAAATTATTATAATATGCTGATTTGCTGATCAAGAAGCATTTTTAATATTATCAATGTTGAAAACAGTTGTGTTGCTTGCTTCATACTTGTCCATTTTTCTTTCTTTTTTTTACTACTGAATGTGATGTTTTGCAATGAAGATGGATGCCATTTTTGTTTTTGCTATATTGAATAAATGTGACAGGATCATACATTTCTTCTTATTGTTACGTTGCAGTCCGTAATGTTATTTAACATCAGGATGCTGATGCAATTATTTTCTCAAATATTGTTCAAAAATAGAACTGTTAAAGGAATTAAGGATTCTGCAATCATTTGAAAATGTTAAATTCTGTACGATTCCCATCTCTAACTGTAGCAGATACCGTGAAGGAAGTGGGCGTTTGAAATGTCTGCTTCCTCCCAGTGATTCATACTCTGCTTTGACCTTTTTATTGGCTGGAGAAGTTGATTTTGTAACCTAATGCCTTTTTGAACTGCAAACATTCTCCAGGGAAAGAGAGGTGAGCGTAGAGTATTTCCCACTGGAGCGAATGCAGTCTGGAGGTTTAGTTTGACCTATGGGATTCAGTTCTGAACGCACTGAGTGCCTGATTTAGAGACTACTGAACTCATGCAGTACATTAATTGTACCTTTCCAAGAGTAAAAATGCTCAGTATTTGACATTTGAATGATTGCCCTTCATTTAATTTAAGGCATAATGTTCAGTCAGCTGGTCATTATGGCTATTTAAACCCCAGCAAGTATTGTTTCATCCTGAGGGTGTTTATTTTGCATTCATGACTAGATGACTGTGCATTATTCTGCTTATTGCACGGCAGCATACTAAGTAAATAAATGCACATTAAATATTCAAGTTAAAATTACTTCTTTATGTGAGAAGAAAGAGTTCGGAGTGATTAGAATCATTAAAAAAATGACATCAAATGCTATGATTGATTAATCAGAATTGAATAGTCCAAAAAGCTGTATAAGTATTAATTATTTACTATTGCTGTGAGATTTTATGTGGTAAATTATTAGATGTTTTGATGTTTCTTATTTAATTTAAAGGAATGGTTCACCCCAAAAATTTATATTTGCTAAATATTTACTCCCCTGCAGGCCATCCAAGATGTAGACGAGATTGTTTTTCATCAGAACAGATTTGGAGAAATGTAGTATTATATCACTTGCTCACTAATGGATCCTCTGCAGTGAATGGGTGCCGTTAGAATAAGAGTCCAAACAGCTGATAAAAACATCTCAATAATCCACATCACTTCAGTTCATCAGACAATGTCTTGTGAAGTGACAAGCTACGTGTTTGTAAGAAATTGTGAATTACTTGTGGATTATTGTGATGTTTTTATCAGCTGTTTGGACTCTTATTCTGACGGCACCCATTCACTGCAGAGGATCCATTGGTGAGCAAGTGATGTAATGCTACATTTCTCCAAACCTGTTCCGATGATGAAACAAACTCTGGTTTGTATGTCTTTTCTTTTTTTTTATGTATTTTGTTCTTTTTTTTAAATCCCTTCTCAATGTTGACCGTGGTGTGTGTAACTAACCAGCATTCACTAACATGCTTTGAAGCGTTCATGGGTCGCTTCTTTCTGCTCAGTAGGTGAAAAAACGGTCAAGGACGAGCAGTAGATGTGAGAGAGTATGAGAAAGCCTCTCGAATTAAAGCCCTGAGACTGATTCTCTGTTACCTGTCCATCATCATCTCTCTCTGTCAGTGTACAGGAGAGTTGGTGTGTTTTTAATGTGGTTTACTGTCCATCTGTCTCCTGCTGGTGTCCTTAAAGACATTGTCCTCTGCCAGAGCTGCTGTCCTGCTCTCTGAGCTCTTATCAGTCATTGAGCAGAGCTCAGCCGCTCCACGACATTCGGACACACTCCCATCCGGACTATCACAGCCTCTTTTTCCTCATACTGTCTTCATAGTCCATGTTTTTCTGTCCCACTTTTTCCACAGCTCTGCCTTGTGGGGGTTGTTTCCCTTATTTTTCTTCTTCTCTCTGTTCCTCTCAAACTGAGCTGTCTTGCTGTCTACTGCCTACACAGGCAGCTGACATCTGTGTTTTTTTATTATGAACTTTAATTAAGACAGGTCTATAATACCTGGTGGAATCGATCTGTTAGCATTCCCATTTATATCAGCTCATGACAGCGAAGAGTAGTTCAGATTTTGACATTGAGTGGAGCGGCTTGGTGTCATAAAACAAAGGATCGATCTGATCAATCTCAAGTGTGTTGTCCATCTGCATTAGCGAATTTATATAAGCATTAATGCACAAATAGCGATACCAATATACCAATGTAATGGTCTAATAAATATAAAAATATGCATACAAACATTGGTGAAAAGTTCATTCTTAACTATTTTTCATATCTTTTAGTACTGAATTAAATATATTTAAAATTAACATTTCTTCCAATATCTGCCATTTTTTATTTTTTTTATTTTTTTTGAGCAGCACATCATTAGAACGATTTCTGAAGGATCACGTGACACTGAAGACTGGAGTAATGATGCTGAAAATTCAGCTTTGCATTGCTGGAAAAAATGTATTTGAACATATATTCAAATACAAAACAGTAATTTTTAAGTTGTAATAATATTTCACAATATTGCTGTTTGTACTGTATTTTTGATTAAATAAAGCCTTAATGACTTTAAAACATTAAAAACAAATATTTTAAAGACCCCATACTTTTGCACTATATTTACTATACGTACTATATTTAGCATGCATACTTACTAGGGTTTGTAATGGAGCTCATTAAAAATCATCTTAATCTGTATTTTAATCTTGTTTTTTAAGTAAATATATTTGTAGAGAATCAAACCCCTGACCTTGCCATTACTAGTGCCGTGCGCTACTGTTTGAGCTTAAGGAACACTTAAACACTTAGTTTTATGCTTAAATAAGAAATTAGAAACAAGAAATAAGTTATTAAGACTTGTTTTCAGATACTATATCTATATATATTCTCTGGAAACAAGTCTTAATATCATATGCAATTTTGCATCTTCAGGAAATATATCTTGCTTTAAAGATGTTTTTACTGAAAAACAAAACAAAAAGTGATTTAAGAGAATGATTTACTGCAGTGCTTCTCTCTCTCTCTTCTGGCTTTCATGGATGTTTACTTCACTCTCCCACAGAGATATATTTTCTTGCAGAAGTTGAAGCATCACGTGCCGTGCTGTGAGCCGCAGTGCCTGTTTCTCTCTCTCTGTGGATAAAGTTTCTCTATTTAAATTCTCACTTTTGAACTCTGTGTGTGTTTGTAGGTTTAAGCACCTGGAAAAGCTTTCAGCTTTCTCAGCCTCAGCAGGATTTATGGGATATGTTTGTGTAGTGTGTGTGTAATAATGGGGCTGTCAAGGAGCCAAAGGTTTGTGTTTATGAGGAGAATGAAGCTTATAGAAGTGTCACCTGCGGTGGATGGCAGGTAGAGATAGTGATTTCCCCTCATTTAATCCCTCATTTAAGCAGAGCTCAGTGTGCAGATGGGCTGGTCGGGACACAGCGACCCGTTAGCTTCATTTAAATCTGCAAGAAGTGCAGCTGTAAACACACGGTGTAATAG